ACATTGACCTCAATTTGGATCCTCTAGATAAACTGGAAGACATGTTCTCGGTGAACGACTTCATGTAATATTTTTTTTATATATATTTAGTTATTTTAATCATTTGATGTGTGTTTTTTAATGTCATGGTATGTTGTTTTCGTTTGGCACATACTGAAAAAACCAACACTGTTTTTTGATGAGGGAAAACTTCAATAAATCATATATGCATGTATCATATTGCATAATATGATTATTAAAGACGAATAAAGAGCGATATGTACATACGACGAGAACGAAACCATCTTCGAGACGCAACCAATAGAAATTGGTGGCAATGAGTACATGGTTAGGAGAGCAGATGTACATTGCAATAACACTTTTCATAATCTTCGCATGAACTTAGTGGAAGACATTCACGGGGTTTAAGACATTGACCTCAATTTGGATCCCCCAGAAGATGAGTTCTCGGAGGACGACTTCATATAGTTTTTTTTTTTTTTTTTAAAGTTAGTTTAGGTATTTGATGTGTGCTTTTTAATGTCATGGTATGTTGTTTTCTTTTTAAGAAATGCAATGTAATGTTTTGCATTTGATACGTTTGGTTTTCTTGCATAGCAATGTTATATCCCCTAGATCTAGGGATGTAGTCTTCAAAAGAATTGGTTTTACCATACAAAAGGGTTTAACGGCGCAACTTATCGCCCATTTGCTTTCTCATTTGTTGTATGATGATAACTAAAATTAAATATAATGCTTTTACTATTTATATATATAAAAAAATTAGGTATTGAAATTTTTTTATTAAAATTTAAGGTTTTAATTGTTTAAAATTTAGTTTTTCTTTAAAAAAAATTCTTAAAAAATAAGTGTGGCACCACTTTTTAAATGTGGTAAGAAACCATACTTTTTTGGTAAATACTGACATAGCGCCTACATCGCAGTCTCGTGTGTGGTACCACTCCTTCCAATCTAAGAGGTCCACAGTGGTAATTGCTTATGTGAATAACCCGATTAAGTTCAAACATATGAACCAACATGGTCTCAAGCTGGACGATCTCCTACAAATGAGACTCCAATAATCAAAGCAATAATCTCCTCCAAAATTAACGTTCATTCCAAAAAAATCTCCAACGAATGATACGCAAATCGAAAAATAAACTTTTGCAAATAAAACGTCCATTAAAAATATGAGGGTTCTAGCCCAGCGGTACCCGGTATTGTCCTCCCTTCTTGAGGTTGAGGGTTCAAGTCCCGTCGTGGACATAGATGGATTTAAGGTGTAGTTTAGGAGTAGGTTAGATTTGCCGTTTCAAAAAAAAAAAAAAAAAAAAAAAAAAATGAGTAAAGAGATACACAAATAACATCAACGTATAGCCAAAAACTAAATGCACAAATAACATTAGCGTATAGCCAAAAACTAAACTCTTAATCTGAATTTTGTTATTTTGTTATATAGTTCATTCAGTATTTGATCGATACAAAATTACAAACGTCCAACTTTATTTTCTTTATATATTTTCTCCTTAGACATAGTATTAAATAATCAACAGAGAGCATTTAGCGAACATCAGACAATAGTCGGCGTGTGTAGGAAAAGAAGAAAGAAAGTAATTATTCATGGCATCAAATATAGCTACGGACGGAAGGGCCCCGCCGGTGTGCAGGTGGTGCTGCAGTTCTGCCACCACGTGAACACTCTCCGCAACTAGGTTTTTGTTATCGTATCTTCATCGGAATCTGTGCCTGCAACATAATTCCTCTTCAATTCATTTTAAGTAGTTATCTAATTTCTTATAAAGTAGTATATGAGAAATTCCACTCTTGAGTTTTATATTAATACTATTTTTTTTAAAATCTTTTTCGATCAAATTTAAGGTAGTTGGGGGTTTAAAAATTGGCATGATTAAAGAGATAAAAAGGTAATCTGGAAATGTTGTCATGTTAACACGGCACACACGAGGGTTGTGTTGTGTGTCAGGTAGCCGGCTCGGCCGACCCCTCTACATGAGGCCCACGTCCAACCAACATACGTACATCTTGAATTCTCAATTCTCAAATAAATCAACTTTACAAATTAAACTATGAGAATATTACTTGAGTGGGTAGTTTGTAAATTATTTATTTATGTGTACATCTATATGGATCATAGTTTATCAATACGAGGTTGGAATTTTTTTTTCACATTGGTAGTTGTTTGTAGATGGAAATTTAAGAAATGATAATATATTTTATAAGTCTGTTTATTATAATATTATATTTTTATTTTATTTTAAAGCAATATGTTAAAAAAAAAACCTTATCATAGTCGTGTACCCAAGTCATCTAAACATAAATAAATATTGTTAGTACAACTCTTGTTATAATAATATAACTAGGTTAAAATCTATGTAATATGTTGATTGAGAAATTAAAATATTAAATAATACACAGTGAGTTGGCATAAAAAGTAAATGACATCCAAGTATTGTTAGACTGGAGGGAGTGGTGCCATCAAAATCGCACTCCTTCCTCTGCCACATAAGCGTCACATTATTTTTTACCATGCAAGTGTGGTTTCTTGTCATACTAAGGGAGTGATGGCACACTTTTTTTTTCGTTTTTTTTAGCTATTTTAATTAAAACTTATTTTTTAATAAAAAAAACATAATTTTTCATTACTTGAAAATTAAAAAAAAATTACATTAAAAATTAAAAAAAACATTACATTGCATTAAAAAAACGAAAAACACACACACGATATTAAAATAATCCTAGAAACTTAAAAAACACAAATAAAATAACTAAAACAAACTACATAAAGTCGTTCTCTGAGAAACTTGTCTTCGGAGTCATCCGGTGGATCCAAATTAAGGTTAATGTTTTGAACCTCGTAAATGTGTTCCACCAAGTCATTAAAAGATTGTGAAATGTTTCAGTGCAACGTATCTCTGCTCTCCTGGTCATATACTCTTCGCCACCAATTTTTATTGGTTGTGTCTCTGGTATGGTTTATTCCTCGTCAAACGCACATATCGTTCTTCCTTCGTCTTCAATAATCATGTTATGCAATATGAGACATGTATACATGATTTCTTGAAGTTTTTCCTCGCCTAAATTAACTGCTGGTTTTTTCAATATGAACCACCGTTTCTTCAGAGCTCCAAAAGCACGCTCAACATCCTTCCTAGCTCTTTCTTGAACTCTCTTAAATTTTTTTCGTCTAGAACCATGTGGACACATAAACGATTTAACAAACACAGCATACTCAGGATAGATTCCATCGACCAGATAATAACCATAATTATATGGCATTCCACGCACTTCAAAAGAAGAATCTGGTGGTGATCCATCGTATATGTTGTTAAATATAAGTGAACGATTAAGAATGTTGATGTCGTTAACCGAACCATGAGAACCAAAAAAGCATGCCAAATCCATAGATCTTGTGATGCAACTGCTTCTAGTATGACCTTTGGGTGACCATGATCACCTCAGGTAAATTGCCCATGATATGACGTAGGGCAATTTTCCCATGCCCAATGGAGACAATCTAAGCTTCCTAACATTCCAGGAAACCCATGCACACTAGCATTATGAGCTTGCAATTGCAAGATGTCATTACGTGTAGGCTTACGTAAATATTTAAGACCATAAAACTGAATCACAGTTTTGCAGAAATAGTGGAGACTGTCTCGTACGGTCCTAACAGACATCTTAAAACTTTCGTCTAACGCATCAGGCGAAATGTCGTATGCTAACTAATGAAATGCGGCCGTGCATTTTTGTAAGGGAGTGAAACCGGGTGTACCTCTAGCATCGTAGCCTTGTTGAAAAAAATAACACTCCCTCGTTACATCTTCAACTATACATTCGTATAAACCTTTGAACATTCTGAAGCGCCTACGAAAATAATATCATTGATAAGTAGCATTTTCTTGAAAATAGTCTTGCACCAAACGTTGGTTGACTTCTTCACGATTTATGAAAATATATCTTCGTGTTCTCCGTTGAGAACTTGCAGCTGCGTTATTGCATAAAGCATCGTATGTTTGTTCCGCCATTTGAGCACATGCAACAGCAGCATAAAAAATAGTTTGAAATTCTTCAGAAGATGACATCTTTGAGAGAAATTGGTAATTTTTTTTAGAATTTGAGAGAGAAGGGTTTGTATTGTGTGAAAAAAATGAAGTGTTTGTATATATATAGGAAAGAAAGGCAAAAAGGAAGAATCTATATATATATATATATATATATATATATATATATATATATATATATATATATATATATATATATATAAAGCGCAAAAAGACCGTTCAACGGTCAAACTTTCACCAGCCAATCACGTGTCGCGGTCATCTAGAGCCGTAGTGCGGCCAAAACCGCATTCTGGGGACGGTGTGTGCGGCTGAGGTGATACAAACCGCGGCCCCAAACCGCAGCCACACCCTCCAGCCTAATAAGTTTCAAATCCAAAGCAATATTTCGAAATGGTATGAAGGTTCACCCGAAGCATCAAAGTGAAAGTTAAAAGTTGTTGTTCACCTGAACTGGTTTATAGTGAATAAATTGTTCAGAGAATGGTTGGTGTTTTTATTTTCTTTACAACTATACAACATTTGTGTTTTGTAGGGTATAAAGTTTGTGTGTAATTTGTTTGGTATGTCCTAATACCCAATCAATTTTCACTGAATATAGTCATTGTTGTGTGTTAGATTAACTATATACAAATATGTATGCTACAACTTTTGTGTTGCGTAGGGGAAGACAAACTCCATTTTACCCTCTCTTTTTTTTTCTTATATTTTTTATGAAAAAAACGAGTTAGTATATCTCCATGATTGAATACACGACCTACTTATTAAAAAGTTAAACATTTATGATATATGAAATGGATTATTTTTTGTTTGGCTTTTCGAATTGGATATGGCATTTTGCTCGTTAGTCTTTTCATGCCGGGTTATAATGATTTCTTTAATCTTTTCAATGGTTCGTACACTTAAAAGGCCCAAGAGACGTTGAAAGGCCCAAGCGTATACCAAAAAGACGTTTCCTCTGCTCATACACATTCTGTCTGCTGCTCCCTGCAATGGAAGCGTTTCCGGGTAAAGATTCATCTCTTTCATTTCTAGTATTTCAGTAGCTACACGCGCTGTTTCTGTTTTCTTTTTCATTTATGTCGTTAGGGTTTTTTTCGGATGAAAATTTGGACCTTCTTTGGCTTTGATATCGTTTAAATTTGTTTACATGTTTTTTGTTTATGTGTTCCTGTGGACATTGTATATATGTTATTTTCAATTCGATTATTGTAGTGGAAGTTAACTGGAATGCAGCTCTTTTTGGGTTTGGGGAGGTTTCAAATACGGCGATTGTGGTGCTTAAGGGTTAAATATATATATATATATATATATATGAACACACACCTTGCTATCTGCATCCTAAAAATGTTTTCTTTTTTGTTTTCACATCAATTGTTTTTAACAGCGCTAACTCATATTGTTTTGATTTAGATTATGAGGTTAAAAGTGGCAAATCATTTTATGTAAATGTTCCTGAAGACAAAGTTGTGATTCTTACAAAGGTAAAACTCGCGATGTGCTTATTTTGCTGCATTAAGAAATAACAATACAAGTAACTAAAATTCTTTGTACACAGGCTTATCTTAAAGAAGATACGGAGAGAGTAGACAAAGACAAAACAATTTATTTGCGCCTTAGAGTTGATGGAAGAAGGCTGGTAGCTGGAAGCCTTCACACTCAAAGGCGGCGTGAACAAGTATTGAGTTTGACTATTGACAAAGATTTTCAGATCTCACACAGTTTAAGCAATGGCAGTGTCCACTTCTCTGCCAGCCATAGCTGATAGAAATTGTGATTATCTATATCCTTTTCTCAAAGTCAAACATACATTTGTTTTGTTTTGGTCCAAAGGAAAATGGTTGTTTAAAAAAATTAATAGTTGAGCATTTAGCTTAAACAACCCAATGACCAAAATTCTGAAGATAATTCAATATAATGACCAAAATCGTATTGTGGGACTTAAACTGAATACATATTAACTTCGTGACTAAAATTATTATTCTCTTTTACCTTGATATTCCTCCCAAATGCATCTAGCTCATTGCCATGATTTTATTAGGTCGATGACTAATATTAGTTAAAGAAATCAATGACTACCCTTAAAATTTTGAAGGGAGACATAGTCTTATACAATAAAAAAAAATTATGAAAATCGATACAGTATCTTCCATCCATATATCAAATAATGATTGGTTGTAAATAAAGACATTTTACATTGTAAAAATAGTAATAAAACACCCAAGTACATTTTTGTATTGTTGAGAAAATAAAATCGGCGTCTGCTTCTTTGCAACTATCAAGTTGTGAATATTACACATCAGATTTTATTTTCTTACATCCTTAGCCATGAAGGTTGCTGCACTTTTAGTTGTGCAAGCCATAATAGTAAACAATGATTGGCATACATATAACCAAAGTATAAACAAACATAACATGAAGAAGATAAATTTTACCATAAAAATACATTAATGTAATGGAGATAATTGGTTTGCATGTGACAAAAGAAAAAAATGATTAAAAATATCGGTTGCAACTTACAATTATTTAGAATAGCTCTCCACCATTGACATATTCCAAAACTGTAAATCTTGCTTTATGAGCTAAAATAGGCATCAGAGAAAATAAATCAATGTGCTAAGTTGTATGATGAATGGAGGTTCATATTTTCGCATAGGCATAATGCTTAGTCTCCATGTGTAATAAAACCACTTGCAAATAGAACTCCTAAGAAACTATTGTGGGTATCTTTTCTTTTCCGTATAATGAATTGTAGGTAATTAATTATTTAAATTGGGTGATTCATCAATAGGGTTCTCATGTGACTGAGAATCCATAATATTTTAGAAATTAAGTCTTAATAAGAGATACATGATAATTAGCTTTTACATGTGGAATTTCGATTATGTAAGTCGTGGAATACGTTCTTTTCTTGCTTTGTGATGCTATATTGTGTATGTTCCTAACAATAAATCAATTATTAATTTCTATTTATAATAAAACTAATAAATGACTCAATTTATGATACATATCAGTAAAGTCTTTCTCAAGAATACTCCATTTCTTTCCAAACCAATAACCTGTGGTGACAATTTTTTTTGATTTATATGAAAATTACACAACCAATAACTTCTTGTGATTAATCCAAAAACCAAAATCCATTTTTTTTATTTATATGAAAAGTACACAACCAATAACTTATTGTGATTAATCCAAAAACCAAAATCCATCATCGACTATTGTCATTACAGAAAAAAAAATCTCCAAAATTAAAACCTAGGCATCCAGTTTTGTTCCACAAAAAATAACGAAATTAGAACTACATGCACATAAAAAAAATCAAAACAAAACATAAATACCTTGCATGAGGAACCATTATGAGGAGCCTACTGGAATCATGGTCTTCGTAACCAATTTTACCTTAAAAACATTTATGAAAAAACCACAACCTAGAAGAAGATGGAATAACTCAATTTTGCATATCAAGAATGACGAATTCATATCAAACTGAAATAGAAAACAATAACTAATTAATCAATGAGAAACAATAAACTTTACATTATGTAGAACAGTTATGCGGTCATTGTAGGCGAGACTTCGAATATCTTCCCCGTCTAATATGTAGTTGAAGAGGAAGATAAATGTTAACGATATTAGTGGCGAAGGATAAGAGCAGCAACGTCGTAGGAGTGGTGGTGACGAGGGAGATATTGATCTTGAATTTCAAAATCACGGATTATATTAGCAATTTGGTTTTCAAAAGAGATGGGCAAAATTTTGGGAGATATTGTCGTGATTAGGGATAACCGATGAATCAAATTAAAAGAGATAATCAAGGAATCTTTTAAAATGTAACTAAATTATCCGAAATTTTTTAATTTCAATTTCAATTATAAATATAAATATATTAATACGGAAATTAGTTATTAATTAATTGCCAAATATATCTTTAAAATTGTTTTGGGCGGGAAAATAAAAAGAAGTTGGACTAAGAAAGTGCCATGTGGCATAACCTGAATGTAAAAAATGGACATGTGGCATGTGAAGGATTCTTTTTAAGATAAGATAAGATAAGAAGAGGGGATAATGCATACACACGCTGATTAAATACTAAATTGATTAACGCAATTATTGCAATATATGCTTCCTCCCGTGAGAAATAAATAAAAAAACATGAAATTAATGGAACTAGCGGTTACAAGATCAAACATGAATTACATTAAGAGCCATTAATGTATACCTGAACCCTAATAAAGTATATTATGTTCAAGATAAACAAAATAAAAATAAAGAATTTATAAGTTTGATGTCGTAATTACCAGTTTCGCACAAGCAACACCAATCACTTGATAAGTAAAATTCGTGATCAATAGAAGCCAATCGATTGATAATAATCACGACAAACAATCGTTTAAGAGATTAAGAAAATAGAACTAGTCGATTAAGAAAACAACAACAATCGACAGTAACAATCACGTGTTTGTGAAATAATTCTGGAAGTTGTTTTCTTAATTAAAAATTAAGAATAATTACATTCATAGAAAATCAATTGGACGTGATTTTATTAGATAGCAGGGTAAAACGACGCAGTATATGTTTAGGTATATAAGTTTATATAGAGTTGTTAGTTATATTCACTTTTCCCATATATATATATATATATATATATATATATATATATATATATATATATATATAGAGAGAGAGAGTTAGGTTCAAATGTTTTCAACAAATATTGTGTGCTTAAATGCACCAATGAGAATTCAAGACATAATAAATAATTAAATAAATCAATAAAGGGTATTTTGGATATTTTGTACTTTTAATTAAGGAAATCATTTAATTGAAATCCTACAATTATGGAAATAAAGTAAATATATTTGACCTAATCCTCCACCTTCGTTTCCTGGAACATCACCACTACAGAGAATAATTTCAGCGACTTCCCACCGCCGATTGCAGCCCTTCCTTGCGATCGATTAAGAGTCATCGGCCATTTTCTGAATGTTTGTGTGTTTCTTTCTTTTCCGATGAATTGAGGATTGAAGTCTTTCCCTCCCTGTGTGATTGTTGTCGGATAGAAGGAGCAGCCGTCGCTGCCACTTGACGGCAACACTGCTGCCTCCGTTCCATTCCTTTCCACGATTGGTGGCTGACGGAGACGGAGATAGTGAACCAAGGGAAGCCTGCCAGAGATTAGATCTCCCTTCCTTGCGCTCTGTTCAACCACCGGTGAACCCATTGGAGCTGCATTCAGGGGCTTTTTCATGGAAGTTGTTCTAACACTATATGTAAGTGTTTGATTTTTCCTAATTTTATTTACCTATTTGATACTATATTCTTGATTTTTTGAGATCCATCATATAAAGATGGTGAAGTCTTCAGTCAATGATTCACTTGCTCAACCTCAATTTTACCAGTACATAAAAAAATCAGATGGTGAAGTCATCCGACTTCACGCACATAGAATTTTAGAATAGTTTCAGATAACCTATAAACAATTACTTTATCATGTTTGTATTCTATCTTGTAGAATTTGATATTTGAAAAAGACATTGGTGAAAAATTTATTTCTTATCTTCTTCATGAATATCAAGCACCAAAGGAATAATCTTCAATTAGTAGCAGTAGCAAAATCGTCTTAATATCTAATATGATAAGGGTAATTCTGCCAGAATGGAACCACGGATTCCAATTTTGTTAGAATGAAATCTAATATGTTGGTTTGATAAAATGTTCACTTCAAATTATTCTACTTATTCTAATGTATGTTGTATAAAATCATGCTCATGTTTATCTCCTTTTTGCAGCTCCTTGTATAAAATCATTCTCATGCAATACAATTATGACAGAATGCCAATCGCACAAAATGTCAATATCATAGAATGCTAGCATATTTTGAAGTGGCTTAGAGGTCAAACATACACAAAATGTCAATCTCACAACAAGTATATTTGTTTAACTGGTAATGAATTTGTGATACTTTATGGTTGATTTTATAGTCTCTACTACATTCTGTCATAATTTATAGTTTTTATTTTTCTACTATATCCTGTTAAAGTTTATAGTCTTTAATACATTTTGTCAGAATTTATAGTTTTTATTCTATTAGAATGCATTGAATTGTTTAATTTTTGAAACTTGATTATGTTTTCTTTGTGGATTTAGGTTTTGAAGAGGCTAACATTGATGTGGAGAAGGAAGAAAACATATAGAACGAGAGTGTATTATACTAGAATGTGTTATCCTACAATGTATAAAGTGTTGCTTAAAAATCATTTCTTTCAGAATGTTGTTATTATTCAATGAATCACAATCATACAATGTAATTATTTGTTATATTATTAGTTCAAGAATTGATTTTGTGTATTCTTTCAGAATGTATCTACTAGTTTATGGTTGGCATTCTGTCATTCTGACAGAATAAAATAGAAAAATATATTTACTAGTTTATGGTTGGCATTTTATCATTCTGACAGAATAAATCGGATTTTTAAATTTGAATTAATTTAAAATATTCATATTTTTAAAAAAGAAAGGAATTAATTATCCCTAAAAATCCGAAAATTTCCTTTTTTAATATAGGTTAATTGATTAAAATATCCTTATGCTGAAATTTGTGTGATTATATGGTACATGTTATCCTATTCTACTATCATAGACCCTCAAATCATAACTTTTGATTATATTCCATCCGATGATACAAATCTGCGCATTCTGGCACACAATAGTTAGTAAAAACAAAATTATATATATATATATATAGTTAGTTAGTTAGTAAAAACAAAATAATCTAATCCTATATATATATATATATATATATATATATATATATATATATATATATATATATATATAGGATTAGGTTCATGTGAGACGGTCTAATTTTGTGTGACCGTGAGACGCATTTTTTTATTTTTTTTTTATTTTTTATATTTTTTTAATTTTTTTTAGTTAATTCAAGTTCCGAAAATAATATTTAAAAAAAGAATTTTTTGATTTTTCCTTTTATTTTGCATTTTAAAATTATTTTTAGAATATGTACAGTGTAATATTCTATTTAGAATATTTCACGTATTTTTCAAAAAAAAAAAGATTTTTTTTTATTTTTTTTAGTTAATTCAAGTTCCAAAAATAGTATTTAAAAAAGAATTTTTAGATTTTTCCATTTATTTTGCATTTTAAAATTATTTTTTAGAATATATCAGTGTAATATTCTATTTAGAATATTTCACGTATTTTAAAAAAAACGGGAATTTTTTATTATTTTATTATTTTTTTAATTTTTTTTTAGTTAATTCAAGTTCCGAAAATAATATTTAAAAAAAGATTTTTGGATTTTTCCATTTATTTTGCATTTTAAAATTATTTTTAGATTTGGTCTCACGGTCTCACAAAATTAGAATGGTTTCAAATGAACCTGAATATATATATATATATATATATATATATATATATATATATATATATATATATATATATATATATATATAGTAGAAAAGTTTGAGGCCCGTGCTAAGCACGGCCTGTGAAGGGTATTTTTGGTATTTCCTGGGAAAACCATAATATTATACTAACAACCATACTCTAACAAACACATCATAATTTTCTTTCTTGAATTTTTTTCATAGGGTTAAACGCAACAAATAGCAATGAACTTTCATTAATATTTTTCAAATGATTCTATCGATAAAAAAATGTAAGAATGCTATTATTGGTAAACAAATGTGAGTGCATTGGTATTACAGTTGGCCAAAATATATTATGCTAGCAACCAAAAAAGTAAAAGAATAGTGTTATAAACAGATGTATTTTCAATGTACAATGTGTGAGTAAGAAAAAGAAAATGAATCTACATTGTTATTACCAAAAGTCTATTGTTATTTACTTATGTGAATTTTTTGTATTATGAAAAATGTATCAGGGCCTATTCAGATAGGCCGATTTTAATTAACCTTTGATGTATTGTCCATTGTTCTAAAGCAGGTCTCACGATGGCATCCTGCTAATTTTAGAATGAGTAAGTGTTAAAGCGAACAATATGAATCATAATGGATATTTACTATTAGTTAGATAGTTTACTGAAAGCTTGAAAAGCTATTTTGAAATGAAAATTTAAAACCTTCATTCTTTGTTTCATGGATCATGTGTAAATCATCTACACCAGCCATCTGAGCAACAAATATGGAAGTCTAAGTTTGTCAACAAGAGCATCTGCTCTCATCAAGAATCATGAGAAAAAAACATGAAAACAATAAACAAAAAAATATGTTTTGTTCGATATAGAATCGTACAAGCTATAATACCAACTTCATTCATCACAAACTTTTATATGCATTTTGTTACAAAATAGCAAATGCCAACCATTCTTTTTGTTTCATAACACAAATACTGAGGCATTGCAAGCAACACTAAATGACATGATTATTGTTGAGATACTTGTTGCCATCTTTAGAACCTTACTGACTAAATGAAAAAAGAAAATAAATGATTGATTTTAACATACCGACATTGAGGTGGTTGTATTCATCGTAGGAAGTTCAAGATGAACTTGAGAAGGTACTTGTTTTTCTTACTCTAAGCCTATCAAAAATTCAATTTGGGTGTTTTAGAACTGTGTGCGATGATATCATGCCAAGTGCTTATGGAAATGCCTTTGTGAATCATTTACACCAGCCATCTGAGCAACAAATATGGAAGTCTAAGTTTGTCAACAAGAGCATCTTCTCTCATCAAGAATCATGAGAAAAAAACATGAAAACAATAAACAAAAAAATATGTTTTGTTTGATATAGAATCGTACAAGCTATAATACCAACTTTATTCTTCTTTTGCATGACATATTCCACATCTTCCTAATGTAAATGTATACCTCCATAAAGAACCAATCGTCCTTAAACTAACCTACGGTTCCAAATTCTCATTACATACGTCTATTAGACACAATCCGACAAGAACTTACTAAAAATCAATCAATCCAAAAAGAAGGAAAGAAGCCGGGATGTTTTAAAAATCTAAGTTTTAGAAAAAAGTAGGGAAATCTATGAATTATTACCTTTTTCAAAAGGATGGATGAATACCTGAGAATTAGGATTTAGGAAAAGTGTTTCGATTCAATTTTGGCACACCAACAGAAAAGAAAATCGAGCAGGTGTAGACACAAAACTCCATGGAGAACCACAACGAGAGGTTATCCATGGCGGTGTATTAGGAGAGGCGAATACTGAAAACCAAGGGACCCAGAGAATAGTGTTTGGTGGAAGAAGGCAGTGGCGGTAACATACACATATCTCGGTCGATTGTTTGAGGTGGAATACGGAGTTGTGCTTAGCGGGGAAGAGGAGTCGCTGAATTGTTGGGGCTATTTATGTGGAGGATGCGAAGTTACAAACCCTGTTGCAAAAGGTTACGTCGTTATGAAGATACGATATGTGGCTTGAAACAAACCCTGTAGATTTCATTTTGGCAGAAGGAGATAAAAAGGGATTATATATATATATATATATATATATATATATATATATATATATATATATATATATATATATATATATATACACACACACACACTAGCCTTTTACCCGCGCTAAGCGACGGGTGAAAATAGTTTCCTTCGGCAATTATTTCTATTCGAAAACATGGATGATTGGGAACTTAGCTTTGACAAAGATTTAATTTGGGTGAGTAGGTTTATTTAGGGTTTACGGTTTTGGATTTCAGGATATGTATTTTAGGTTTAGAAATTTGGGTTTAACGTTTTTCATTTGATTTTAGGTTTGGGTATAAGAGATAGTTCAATCAAGTCATTTCCTTATATTTAGGTCGAAACAGGTTTCCATCCTTAATTTTTTTTAGAATAATTTATTTTTATGTGAAAAAGATCTCTATGGTCGGTGGTCGTATGTAGGTACATAAATTGGAAAAAGGCAAGCACGGGACCTTTGAGCCTTAATTTTTTTTATTGAATAGGTTCCTAAAAAAATGACTAAAATGAGAAGGTGTTAATTTGGAGCAGACAATGGAAGACTCACGTAAATTACATGGAATCGGTCACGAGACCGGAAGTGATTTATAAAATGTTGGAACTGGTTGCACAACTATTTAAAATTCGGGACCTCTTTGAAGTCGGCCAAAATAGTTCTAATACAATCGGGTTCCTTATCTTACCTATTTCGTGCCCCTATTATCAAGGCGCTATTGTTTTGAGTTTTGACTTGGCTCATTCTCTTAGCTCAGCATTTCCCCATATCTTTGCAATTTTGTTCATTG